TCTGAGATACAGACCAAGACTCAAGACTGTTAAAATGGACCACATTTCCATACTGAAAATAAGTCTAGCATCTGACTGTAGTAAACATGCACAAGCCACAGTTTGGTTCCTTTGGGAAGGGTTTTATGATCCTAACAAGATCTCTTACAAAGAGCTCAAAAAAACCCCAATCAATCAAAAAAGACCAAACAGAAAGAGCCACCACACAGAAACAAACAGAAAACAAAACCAAACCCCCCCTGCATCACATACTACAAATAAAAAGTTGCAGAGAAGAGGCAAGTCTGTTCATTAACTTGCATTGTTTTAATTCAGAAAGCCTTTTTCTGAAAGAGGGGAGAGGGGTAGGAGGTTGCAGATTTTTGGTGTTAACTAGGAGCAGCAAACTCCCTCCCTTTGTCCCTCCCTTACAACTACCGGCTTCACACATCTGCATTGTTACCTTCACTTTTTCTCTTCTCAGGCAGCAGAAAAGACAATTTTCATCAAAAGACCAATCAGAAACACCTTCAGGCTCACAGTCTGTAAATCAGAGGAATAGCAAATTACTTCATATTCATAAACCGCGACACAACTGGAGCCAAAAGAGAAATGCCAAATTAAATACCTGTTTCACAATATTCTTGCCTGCATTCTGAGGATGCAAGCTTCATTTCATCCATTTTTCTAAATCCCCAGATTACCAAAATGTACACATTTTATCTATGCACAACAAATCTGTTTTACCGAGCACTGCCAAATACACTCCCAGCTACATAAAGATGAACGCACACTCATTAGTAATTTTAGCCAATATGAAACTAACTGTGAGCACTGCCTGGGGGAGGGGGGAAAAAAAGCACAAATCACCACGGTAACACACATTTTCTAGAGGCAGAGCTGGGGCTGCTTCTGTTATTAGAAATGCGGAACAAGATACAAACATAGAGAATGAATACCTTTAAACAAACTGAGATCTTTTAATAATCCAGGTCCAAACAGGCCTTCTAGAATACTTTCAAACCCTAAAAGCAAATAAAAGAATTGTTAGCTTTCTAGATTAAGTACGTCACTACAAGAATATTCACAATAGCAGTTCTATATTTATCTGTTCCAAGAACAGAGCTCAACGTGTTTTCTCTAAGTATTACAAGATGCATGGGTCAACTGCAATGACTGAACTACTGACAAATCACAGCACAACCTAGAGCCCACCGACCCCTGTACTTCTGTAAATAGCTGGGTTAAAAACAAAGACCGTTACAACATTGAAATAAACCAGTTTGAAAAGAAAACAGGAAGTTGTAGATTCTACAATGTCACAAGGTAATTTCTACACAAAAAAGATTTGCTTGCTTAAGCTTTCAAACAGAAATAAGCTATGCTCTCCCTAGTGAAAAAAATACATTCTTCCATCTCAGTGGCACTCAGATATTTCTTTAAATTTCAGCAAATGTTAGAATTAGTGTTTCCTGAAAAGCTACAGGTTTGAAGAGAGAAAATTCAAAGGAAAGGGATTCATCCGTGCCATGCCACTAAGGAACTAAATTTCAACCACAGATCCGCATCTAAGATACACAGTCCGATTTACTTCAATGCCATGATTTATGCCTCACTTAAAATAAATCTAACCAATTTTAGTTTATTCCAAACGAGGAAAAGCCTTTACCAAAATTACTGCCATTATTTGGAAATGTTAAATCAATATTACACTAAACCCCTGCTGGCAGTAAAATCTACAGAGCTATTAACTACCCAATACTGCGAGAAGACAGGTTAGCACAGTGGATATGAAAAGTACCAAGACTACTGTATGAGGGACAGACAAATTCCATCTGCTTACAAAAATGTATTCCCGGTATGATCATAAAACTCAAGACTACAACTTACTGTATTTTTCCCTGCCCCCATTACTACTTTTGCTCTGTAGGTTTAATAACAGTTTACATACAGCTAGGGGCAGTTTCTCCTACTTCTCTGAATCTTTGAGAGGTGGAAGAAGAAACGAAAGAGAAATTTGAAGACAGAAATACACTTTTAAATTTACAGAAACTTGCATGGGTGAAACAGGGACAAATAAAGTACCTGAAGTGGCCCTTTTAAGAAACCAGTCAAAATCTAAATGACCGCGTGCTATGAAAGAAATCAGTTATTACATTGCAAAAGAACAGCAACTGTAAAATAACTCTGACTATACCCAGATCTAATATCAGTTATAATTTGGACAGCAGTCTTCAAAAGAAAAGGACAAGCAGCGATGCATCCCTCTGGGTGTCAGCAAGAGCGCCAGAGCACCAACACCTCTGCACAAACATCCTGAGCTATCGGATGCAGGACCCTACACCATCTGCAGTGT